ATTACCGGTTTTGTTCTTCTTTCCATTGAAGTGTTTCGGCATCCCCGTAACTAAGTAACTTGTGTCTAATGAGACGATGATGGATGTCTTCACACTAAGAGGGGCGTAAGAATATCACTCCATTGTTGGAAGAGCAAATCCCACTCTCGAGCTATCTAGTCCCTTGTCAAACTTTTCGACGAACCTATAAGTTGTCGTTATGATTACCTAGTTACCTATGACATTTGAGCAACCCCAAAGTCCACCATACGGTAGGAAGTGACTACGACACTCTCATGGTCTGAGGAACTAAAACACATGCTAACACTCCGTGTTAGAACAATTGATTTCAGACGATATTATCTCAATGCATAACAAACCAGTTTGGGTCGATTCAATATGATTGTTCTTCTAACGTCATACTCTCAATGTTATTTTAGGACTATTGTTACACGTAATGGTATCCTAAGATCCAGAACACATGATCATCAACAACACTTGAGCCAGTCTTAGATGTGAGACCAGGAACCTATCTTTTATCGTTTATCATTCCACACGTGCATATGAGTTTTCCACTGAATCACATATTCCAGGATCATAACAGTTATAGTATGAAATGTAAACTCTTAGTTATGGGAAATATAATAATACAATATTATTGCCTCTAGGGCTTATTTCTAAAAATATGTGACAATGGTTCCTAGAGGTCATTGCTAGAAGAGCATTTCAGCCTACCATGCATAGAGTTAGAGCAACTCTATCAAGTCATCATATTGGCAGCCTCCATAATGCATATGGAGTGTATGGAGTGCACTACATATGCATTATGGAGGTCGTCAAGGTGATGCGCAAACTCATAGTCTCCATATTTGTGCTTCCATAATCATGAGACCTACTCGTCAATGGGACATCCCTTTCCCCAATCTCCCTACCATCCCACATGAAGTGCGGGACCACTAAAGTTTCCTTCATGCCACATGCAACTATAGTACAGAGTGGACTCTGAAAGGCATCCCCGAGACACCAACTATGAGGCTAATAGACCAGATATGGAGGGCACTCCATAAGTTATGGCAATTCTCACAAGTATGGCGACTCTGCTAGAGTGCCTCTTTTTTGTGACAAAATTGTCGTATTGGTAGTTATTATGGCAATTTGGGCCAATATGCCGACTCTGCTAGAGTTGCTAACACACCACATTCCACATCTGCAATATATATCTCATACAGATTTTAGATATGCCATAGATCACACACGCGCACGCTCGCATGCGCGTGCACACACGCATTTCCCAAATTACAATGCATGACATTTTCAGATCCATTAAACTAACTAGGGGGGGGGGCTAATTATTCTCTGTAGGGTACCACATAATCCTATGTGGCATCCATGTCGTGGTCGCAAGATGGGGCACACACCCGATGGTTGGAAGGAGGTGCCTTAGAGGAATGCATGATTTATGTACGGTGGATCTCCATGTCTAATGGCATTGAATGCAGTAGTGGCTATTATAATGGCAAAGATAAGGGAAGAGTAGGGGAGCCATGCTTGACGAGGAGCGATGGATAGGGGAGGATCCACGTGGGTTTGAGAGTCCAATAGAGAGAGGATAAGATGGGGCACTAGTAAAAATAGTGGGAGAAAAATGTTTGCTTAGTAAACTAGGAGGTGAGTTTTCTTCCCTAGCACTGACATTTTGCAATAGTTTATATTGCTAATGGCATGATGTCTTGGTTGGGTGACGATGCTACCGATTTCAATCTATTGATTTTCTGTAGGAACATAGAAGCATTCATGTGGAACATTACTTAGAAAAATCCTTAAAATCTAGCATCCTTAATTTAGACCAAGGTTTACATTGATTGTAACACATACATAAACTAAACTAGAGTTTCATTCACTATGTTTTGCTACCTGATTTTGCCGCCATGGACAAGGGCAACGGAGCATGAGGATAGTGCAAGGTTGCCATAGCATCCCGAATTGGGATCTAGTGGTGCTAGTGACCTTCCTCCTTCAACCTCGATTGCAAAGTGCAACGAAGACCTTCATTGTTGGTGGTGACCGACCCTTGTCCTAGCTGGAGAGCCTACTTGTGCGAGCACGTTCTTACCTTGTGTGGCGCCTCACATCAAGACCGTGGTATGCATATAGTTGTTGGTATCACAAAAAGTGGTGGTGACATACAATGACTTTGACTTTGGTAGTGCTTCTCAAGCATTGGTATTGAGCTTTGGGGTGAAAACTTAAGGTCGACTCTTATTGATTATATCTAGTAATGGTGATGTTTCTTGTGTTTTCACCTTGTTGAAGGCATTGTTTGGATGTGCTCAGACGTGTTCTTCAAGGTGAAAACCGAAGATCTAGTCTTTGGTGGTTGGATCTGGCACCGGCGACGCTTGAGCATCGTTCCCTTCCTGAAGCCCTTGCTGTTGGAGGATTCTTCTCGGTGATGTCAAGAGATGGTGGTGTAGATATGGTTCCTGGTGTATATTTTATTATCAATGTTTTGATCGCTTCAGAGTTTTTTCTTTTCTTTTAACTCCACCAAGGCATTTGTGTTAGTTGTCTGCATCTAGCTACGCAGAGGCCCAATGTGTGTTCATTTATTGTATGTATCTCCTTGATGCTTCATATTTAGTTAATAAAATCCATAATGTGAAAAAAGAATTTCACTCACTTACATATACATTTGATTAAAATTACCACATTATTGAATATACAACATTACCATCTTAAGGTGACGTTTACACATTTTGAGGGGGAGTATATTTCTTACATGTATAATTAACGTCTCCTAGGAGACCAATATCTTCAAAGTTCATCCTCTACAGAAGTCCTCCTCCCCTCATTTTTTCCCTTTATGCTACCAAATAAACTCCAAGAATCATATATATCTCTAGTGCAATTACGTTAACATTTTTGTGTGATTGAGCTATATTCTCCATTGCTCTGACTAGTTAGCCTAATAGTAGTTTGTTGGTTGATTTTTTCATAGACAGACTAGCTAGACGTTGTGATATATCTAACACTGCTTTTAATGTAGATTCTAAAGCAACCATGGTTAACATAAGCATTTCAAATTCCCATGCCACAATGGAAAAAAGTGCATCCTCCTGTAGATTCCCAACTTCAAGGTTTCTTTGTTCATTTTAGGGTGTATGATGAATTCATTTTCCAAGAAGTGTTTTACGATGTACCATTCCAACTGCCAAGTGCATCCTTTTGGGTAGTGGTGGTCGCATTCTCATATTCATCCAAGCAAGACAATATAATATCCCTAGCAATATCTACTTTTTACGCATCTTAGCTCTATCAGAATTACACACCTCAAACTTAAAATTTAAGATTCATCGCCATATTTCAGAAGAACTTCGATACATAACGAGAAGAATAAAGTCGAATTGATTTCCGGGGTTTACCGAAAAAGGCTCGCGCCCCGCTTTATATATAAAGCAAATGTCAAAGCCAACATCCAACAAGGTTCACACAAACACAAAGCCCACACGCACACAAAGTCCAAGCACAAGCAAGCAACAAGGGTTACTGCTGAGGGCACAGCTCAACAAGCCCAACACACACACACAAAAAGGCACAAGCGCCAGAAGCCAGGAGGGAAACATCCTCTAGTCGGGCTCCGGTGGTGGCGGCGGGAGCGGAGGCGCCAGGCGAAAGGCCAACGAACGGAGGTCGGTGAGGAGTCTGTCGATGGCGTCCCGGTCCTGCGGGCGGCTAAGATTTCCGGGGTTTAAGACACCCATATTGTGTGATGGGGGGAATGCATCTCAATTTCTTGAATTCCATCTTTCGAAATCTCCGTGCTAGTGCCTCATGCAAACAATCTATCAAAAATACCTCTGCATAGGTGTCTTTTACTAAATTAAACTATTTTTCGTAATTGCTCCGAGTAGATTTGTGTTTTTGTTGTTTCTTTTGAGCGATTGTGACAAAATGACAATGTCCTGCAACACCCCAACTAATTTTTCCTTTTCTGCTTCCTCATAATATAAGTGGATGGAGGAAATGAATTTGAAGTCAAGGCTTTAAGATGAACTATTTGGTGGATGAAGGAAATGCATGCTGATTTTTTCAAGTTTATCTTTTAGGATGTATGGACAATGCAAACAATCTGTCTAAACACTATCTCATAGCTGTTCTATCTTCTCCTAATTTTGAAGAAACAATAATTTGCAGGGGATTTTTTTGTGTGGGGGTAATTTTGAAAAATATCATTCCAGTGCTGGATGTTTCTTCTAACAAATTATCATGTTTTGTAATAGCTTTGAGCAAAAAAAAAATTGCGGTATCTTTGAGCAATTGCCACAAAATAGGAGTGTCCTGCAAGTTGCAACCAACTTTGCCTTTTCTATTTCTTCGTAATTCTTTGTGCATTTTTTGCGGATCTCATTTGTCTCTACAATAGCAGACTATGCAAAACCCATACCCCAAGGCCCAAGGATCAACACCCATCTACACTGGCTGGTCTACCAACACATGCATTGTTGTGTGCACCATTCGTTGTGCACAACCAAAACACAGCAAGGCAGCGTGGACATGAATGTGCTGTGGGAATAATTGAGGCAAGCTAGATAGGAGGGAGAGAACATACATAGCTAGAAAAATAAACAAATTGCCCCCATAAATTCCACTGAACGTGCATGGGGGATGTAGTTCTAGTAGTGTTCTACTGCCTCTGTCCTTTGATTGGTACTTTAGATAAGGTTAAAATAGCATCCACATGAGACCATCTTTTGATACCCCCTTGCCCCTAAACTATACACTTCCACACCAAACCATGCACATCATCTTTCTTCCCCAATTTTCATTTCCTCTTTTGCCCTCCAGTGAAGCAACGCAAAGACCATGACAAAATAAATTGTATGCTACCTTGGACATATGAAGGAAGGCCACTATATAAGCATTGGTCACCCCACGATGCCAAGGGAGGGAAAGGAAAAGGACTTGCAAGCGAGAGACATCCTCGACCTCCAAGCAGAGAGAAAGATTCATAGTATCATACAATGGGCAATAGCTTGAGGTGCTGCCTGGCTTGCGTGCTCCCCTGCGGCGCGCTGGACCTGATCAGGATCGTCCACCTCAGTGGCCGCGTCGAGGAGTACGGCCGGCCGGTCGCCGCCGGCGAGATCCTCTCTGCCAACCCGAACCACGTGCTGAGCAAGCCGTGCTCGCAGGGCGTCGTGCGGAGGATACTCATCGTCTCCCCGGAGTCCGAGCTGGAGCGCGGCCAGATATACTTCCTCATCCCGGCGTCCTCGGTGCCGGCTGAGAGGAAGAAGAAGACCGGCTCCACCGCTGGCTCGCAAGGCGCCGCTGCCGTCGCGCCGTCAAGGATGGCAAACCCTGGCCACGGCGGCAAGACGCGCATCCACGTTAAGAGCAAGCCGTCGTCAGATCACGGCAGTGGCCGTGACGTGCGGTCCGAGAAGAGGTCGCTGCACCGGCGGCGAGTGAGCACCGGTGGCCGGACCGCCGTGTGGAGGCCACACCTCGAGTGCATCGTGGAGGGCACTTGACTAGTTCACTACCTAGTTAATTTTTGTTCTTTCTTTTCCTTTTTCTTTGGCATGGGTGTCATTTTTCTCTCTTGTGCGCATGGTTAATGTGTATGCTTCCTTGTGGCCCTTTTTGTAAGTGTACATCCATGTAATGTTTTTCCCTTCCTTCATATATATGATGGACATGGAGAGGGAAGGTTCTGAATTCTTGTTCTAACTACTGCCCTTTTTTCTCCTCCAACTATTATTGTTGTTCCGTTCTATCCTCCGTTTTTTGTGGATGAGTGTTTGATTGGCTCAAGGAGGAGGATAACATATGAAAATGGGCATGTGCTTCTTTTTTTCTCAAGAAAATAAAAGGAAAGAAAAAACAATGCCACAACTTGTGTGTATGGAGTTTCAATCTGTTCATCCTTTAAAGGTCAAACTAGTGGTAATGTCAATCAATCCTCACTGCTTACCTTCAAATAATCCATGGAGCCAAGCACAAGTTTGGTCTCTTCTCACAACCAAGATACATATCGAAGGTTAGATTAGAAACGAAGCCTTAATTTCCAATCATGCCTTAGTTTCTAATCATCATTTGCTAACTAATAGTGGGGGACATACATCATTAGACCATGAATGATTGATGGTTCTTTCTTAAATTTCATGTGGAGGTTGACAAAAGGACACCCTAGCAAGCAGCATTTTTAAGTAAAGCCAGCTATTGGGCCATGGTTTTAGTGCTTATTCTAGCTTTGTAATTGATGCCTCCCCGTTGAAAGTTGAAACCATGCCTTCTGTGCCAGTAGTACTACTCATTGTAGGCATTAGCAAATGCATCTGATTGGTACCCTCAATATAATCATCCAACTAGAGAACAATTACCTACTTAAATATGCAAAGGAAAATGACACATAATGTCAATGATCACAACCTGTGAATTTTCTACAACTTTTCCATAAATATCAGGTAACATTTGTGAATATCAGGATGCTACTACACTTTAAAGTAACTGCTTAAGAATGTGTGCTAAAGCATTTTATTTTCCATTTCTAGAGGTGCATGCTTCGGCTGTTCTCTGCTAGAGAAATTTTCACTTTAGGTGCCAATGCCATCAAAATATTCCTGATTAATGTTATTGATTATTGGCGCAAGCAAGTATGCTATGCTGTTGAAAACGAAAAGTTCATTACTTATCTGAGAACTGAAACTCTGGGAACCTCCAAAAGAAATAAAAGCAATATTCTCTCAGTTCGCCAATCCAACAAAATCACTTCAGATAGGACAGAAAGCCACAGTTGTTCAATTGTCACAGCAGAGTGGTCTTCTCACATCAATCCCCAGCAACAATAATTGGCCTTGTGATTGGAGAGGGAATCAATCCTCTGCAGAAAACTAGAAGCCTCCCCACTCTTACTCTGACATTGATACAAGACACTCCTATCCTGCAGTCTGTCCCAAAGATTTGAAAGCTTCAGTATTTCTACTCAACGGAATGACAACTCCTTCACACAATCACACACATGTCTATGTGCAATGAGCCGATTAACGCATCTAGTTGGAAAGTTTCCTACTTTCCTTGCTCTAGTTGATGTTTCTGAATTTAAAGGCACAAATTCATGCACCTTTTTCGGAGCTCATGCATACTAATTTCATACTAGTACTGTAGTACACATCTTTCAGACATGCCACATTTCCTCGCCACTAGGCAGCTGAATCTGACGAATCAAAACATATCAATATTCAGAGCATTTGGCAGGATTGCCATTTTCATTGGTGCATGCATCATCAGTGGTAAATGGGAGAGAACACTTGCATATTTTTGTTTGCTTCTACAGCTCATACAGAGTTGCAGATTCGATCTGAATATACTACTTCATACAATAGGCTTGCGTGAGCTCTTGGATCAGGTACCATCACAAGGAGCTGCGATAACAACACATAGTTCGAGCAAAGGAAGAAAACAAATGGGCATACACACATGCTGCTGCACGAATTAAGGTGTGCAGACCAAATCATGCACTGATTCCCATGCCGACTTGATTTGTTTCCGTTAGTTTACTTCCAAAAGACAGCTAAGGAGGCGAGGAGGAGGAGCTAATGATGATTAGCGTGGGGTTTCAGTATTAGTCAATGATTGGCTTCACCTTGGCCCTGCTAGCCGCAAGAGATTGATTAGTAGTAGGAGCAAAGCATTGGTGTTTTTGCAGACCAGGATGTTTTTGATCTTTTATTGCTCATATAATTATTAGGGGGTTAGGCTGGTGGAGTGGTGGTTAGAGACTAAGAGTACTATGGATTTGTAGTATTTGTACCTTTTTTTGGGTTTATACTATATATGGGAAGGAAGGGATAGCATGTAGAAATTGTTGGTGCGCCTCTCAGTTGTGCTGTTTATCCATTCATGGTAAAAATGACAAGACATTGACCCTTGAGGTGACAGAAATAACCACGCATTCATGCAGGATATTTCTTGGAACTTAATTAGCCTATTTATGTTGCTTGAATGTTATTAGCTGCGTACGTGCTTTCGCACCCAGTCGGAATAAGCTTGTTCTGCTACCTGCCTAGTCTTGAACCCTTTTATGGCTGTTGTTGCTATACGATGTCACTTGTGCACTGACTTCTTCCCATGAACTGTAAACCCCTGGAGCCTTACCGATGAACACGGCATACCACTTGGCCTAGCAATGCACAAGAGTAAGAGTTGAAGCAGCAAATCAACGGAGTAGACAAGTAGCAATCAAAGTAGCACACAAACAACAATGAAGCAGAAGAGAAGAAGTAAAGCATGTATGATCATACGGCATAGCAAGTTCTACCTAGCAATACCTTGATGTTAACCTACCACCACATCCAAAAGAGGGTGTCATCCTACCATCGCAAGTTCACCATCAGCGTGAGGGGTTAGTATATACCACCTCACCAAAATATACAGACCATCAAATAGTTTTTGAGCCCTAGCTACACAAAATGTACGTCGTCATCGTCATCGTCGCCACGCCGTCATCATCGGGGATCATGCACGCTCACAGGCAGCACTACTCTAGTAGTAGTGCTTGCCCAGCCAGTTCCTGAGCCACAGCACCCTGTGAGCGTCTGCCATGGCAACGAACCCAACACCCTGGGGCTTGTTGTTAAGCAGGTGGCTGAGAGCTGCCATGAGAGCCTCGTCGCTGAAACCACCCTGGGTCATGACAACGCCATACAAGTCAGACTCCTTGATGGCTGTTGCCACCTCCTTCACCGCCTTAGTCATGTTGCAAAAGACATTGATCTCCTCCTCCATCAGGCCTCCTCTCTTCCTCTTCCTATCATGGACGGAGTCAAATGGCTTGTCGAAGGGCTTCACGAAGGGCTTGTCAGGGCCATCAAGGACCTCGACGTCCGGGGTCCTGGGGAAGTCTAGCATGGGAGAACCAAGAGGCTCCCCCGAGCTCATGGCATGCTTTCCAGTTGCCAACCCGAAGTAGAAGATGTGATGCATCTGGCTGTAGTTTTGTATGGGTGTGTTGAGGAATTCAGCGTCCCTTGGGTGGTCCTAACAATGAAACACAAGTGTTGTTAGTTACGATTAGGAGTAGGCAATGGTGGACAATATGAAAAGGAAGAGGGTCGTGAGCTAACCGTGACATGGCCGGCGTAGTGCTCTGCCTCTAGAACTATGGAGCAAGTGTTCTCATCCCATGAGGCGTCGCTAAGGTCCCTCAGCTTGGACACTTGGATCCATCGACCTCTTCACTTCCTCAGGTGGTTGTACACCTGGGTGGCAGACACCTCCTGCCCACAGAGCTCGAACACCTGCTTCGCAACGGTATTTAAGTGCACCTCCTTGAAGCCCTTGTTAGTCCTAACTCCACTAGAGATGAGCTCGCACATCTTATTCAGCACGAACGTGGACATGAACGGCTGCCACTTCATGTTGTTCGACCTACCATCCTTCTTTGCCTTCGTCGTTGCTATCTTAAGTGCAGCGGCAACAGCAGAAGCAGGAGTTGGCTCAACGAGCATTACTGGCACCTAGAGGGAATCAGACGCGAACACCTTTGAATCAGGTGCCATCTCGGGCATAGGCTGTGAGTCCTCGACAAACGACGGAGCAAACTGGCTGTTGGACGGGACAAGGACCTGACTAAGATTTTGCGTCTGCGTGGTCATGTCCTACAATCGTAGCATGCATTGACAATAAGCATAGCACACAATATAGCGAACAATCCATGAAATCAGGAGCATACATGTACATGGTTCATCACTATCATAGCAAGCACATGCTTCATCACTATCATACTAAGAACATATGGTTCATCGCTATCATACTAAGCATACCGGACAATCTATGAGCACGAACATACATCTATAACAAACAACATGCTATAAATGGACCACCAATAGCTACAAATCACAGATCTAAGCACGAACCAACACAAGCACAAGGTTCAACTTCAAACTCTACTACTAATCTAGCCTACTACATGCTGAACATCTAGCCCTACCACAAATTGCAACCGCAGCATAGCAATCAACCATATGAGCTCACAGATCAGACCACTAATCAACCATGCATCTAGATCAAACCCTAACTGCAGCTCAGATCTAACTAGAAGGGATAGAGAGAAAGGGGGATTGAACTCACAGAGGCCATGACTGCAGCTCGAGGACGAGGGGGCGGTTGTAGAAGATCAAGAAGATCAACATCGGCCGGTGAAGGAGCGCCGACGCCGTCGACTGCCGGTCGATGAAGATGCGCCGCTTACCTGCTCATCGGTGCCGATGCGCGTCGGCGGGAAAGCTCGAACGGGGGAAATGATGACGGGAGTTAGGGCGGTGAGGGAGGGGGCTAAATAGGGGTGGACTCGGCGGGAGGTGAGCCAAAATCCTCTCGCCGATTTTTCGGCGACGCGGGCGAGCTCGCGCCACCTCCCTGGTCGCACGAGGAGAGAAGCGCGTCACCCTCCCCTGCCTCGCCCGAGCCAGGCTCACGAGCTACTGCCGATTCGGACGTTTCCCCTGGGTCTGGCCTGGACGTGCTTTAAGTTCCGTGTGATGTGGACCGCACAGTAAAGCACGCAACCAAACCGGCCAAGTTCTTTCCGCGTGGACCAGGCTGGCCCATATGCAGGCAACTAAACATATCCCTAGTTGCAGAAGAAGCAGGCTGATGCTATTATTAATTTAGTTACTTTTACTAACTTGTGGAGCTTGTGGTGCTACATAAGGATTTAGCTTCCAGGCACGAAAATGACGAAGCTTGAAATGCATCGAGAGTTTGGTAGAAGCTTTTGTTCATCAATGGAAAGTATTGCGTACAAATGCCTAGGCTACTCTGCTCCTCAAAGGCCCATGGTAGCTCGATCTTCATTATGGGAAACTCCTTAGATTGCCTGGAGCTGATCTTCTTGGTATTTGATAGGTTATTTTGGTGGTAGCTTTTGATGCTGCTGCTATCTATTCCCTCCGTTTCAAAATAGATGACTCAACTTTGTACTAATTTTAGTACAAAGTTAGTATAAAGTTGGGTCATCTATTTTGGAACAGAGGGAGTATGTAGGCTACTATTCATTTGTAACCTATTAGATGCTTTTTGAACCCTGCGAGAGATTCCAAAGGTTGAAATAGTTCCATCACAATTATTTTTGATTGCGGCCGAGAGCTGTTGAGCATTGAGCGTGGTGGTTGTTGCCTCTATTTTAGAGCAAGTACAATAAAATGATGTGAGGAGGCGCTAAAAAATTAAGATAATTTCTTTGCTGAGTTGGAGTGTAAAGAAGAGGTGAAAGAAGAAAAATGGGTCGTAGATTAGTAGGTAGTTGCAGCATGGATTTTAAGAAACTTTGTGAGAGAAGAAGGTGAACCAAGTTGTGATAAAGTCGTAAATGTTTTTTTGCTAATTATTCTACGTGTGGCTTACTAAGTTGGTTATATATAATGTGACAACTTCATATAGGCTTTGGCTATACTATTACCATGCTCTTAATAAAGTGGGGGCGGGGAACCCCTTTGATTCAAAAAAAATTCACATAGAGTGCCGACTTAGAGCATGGTTAATAATACAATCAACAATTATCTATAAGGAGTTGCCATGTATTTATAGCCAACCTAATAACTGACATGTACAGTAGTAAGTTTTAAATACTCCTTTCATTACACAATGTAGTGCGTCTGTGCTTTTCGAGATCTAAGTTTACCCATACATTTAACCAATGAGATCGACTGCAACGGGAGCAAATATTATACCACTCCCGAGATCTAAGTTTGACCATACATTTAACCAATAAGACCGACTGTGACGGGAGCAAATATTATACCACTCCCGATATCTAAGTTTGACCATACATTTAACCAACGGGTGCACTACATTGTGAAATGGAGGAAATACGTATTACTTCATTAATAGTTGGCCCACCTTACAATCTCGCAAAGTGACTTGGGGTTTGTGCTGCAGCTGGCTACTAATTTACAGCCTGCTTCTCTTCTCTCTTCTCCAACTAGCAAAATTATATTCCCTTTATATCAAAATATAAGATGTTTTTTAGGCTATTTTAACCTTAAAATGTCTTATATTTTGGTACATAGATAGTAATATTTAAGTCTTTATAGCTTATTTTTTTTTGAACACACTTTATAGCTTATTTATGTCATCTTATTTTACTTGCTCTTAGAGTACTTCGTAGAAAGGGGAAATAAATTGTTTTCGAGGGTAATGGTGGTCCGACGTACTAAACAAAAGAAGCCCATAAATGACTTATCAGGTAGCTGGGTTTTAGAGCCCAAACCAGGGCCTGATAACAACTAGTTCAACTTGTTTTCACGTGGAGAAGCCCAACCCACCAACCCCTCAAAAAAAAAAAAAATCCTAACTCTGCAACTGCAACTCACCTTGCTCGTCCCCGTTGCCGGCGGCAGCGTCGCCGCCGCGACCGTATCCCTTCGCCGGCGGGGCGCGAGGCCCTGACCTTTCCCTCCGCGCCGAAGACGTGCGGCCTGGCCGTGCCACCGCGTTCTCGGGAGTTTGGATCTTGGTTGTCCTCGTAGCCGCCCCCGCATCCCTATTGCTCGTGCAGTCGTGCTCCTCCGAATTCGCCGGCTGCCGGTGTCCCGGCTCGGCCACAGCCCGCAGGTATTGGTTTTTGAGTAACTATGCTTGCGTTAATGGGGGTTAAGTGAAGCACACATGCCGAATTGCTTTTTGATCTAGGAATTGTTGCGTTCTCGAATGAGGGGTAGATTTGATGGTTTCCCTAAAGTTGATGAGCCTCTGATGCTGCCCTTTGATAGAGAAAATTGCACACAACAACAAATTAATTAGGCACTAGTTGCAGCTTATACCGGGTTTGGCAATAATAAACAGTCTGTACCAATTTACACCATGCAGTTGTCGTTTGTGTTTTTTTATGATGGACCAAATATTTCTTAATCATCTTCATATTCCTGTCGCAGACGATTTTTCCAAGTTTGTAATTCAGCACTTTGTCATGTATAATGTCTGGTTTCAGTCTTAGTTAGTACCTTGGTGCCTAATGCTGCAGTTGTTTGTTTAATCGAGTAGGACCATGGTACAAGAACAGAAAGGAGAAACATCCAGTGGCATGTATACTTACAAGCATCATGGTGACAAGGGAGTTGATATCCATGAGATTTTCGTTAAGAAGAGCAGAACCCGTGTTCTGCTGTCATACTGTGGCCTCATTTTACTTCTAGCAATTGTCTGCCGATCATTGCTGGGAAAGGTAACTTCTGTTGTAAATCACTACCAGAAATCAGAAGAGGGCTAAGTTAATGAGGAAAGAGCAGTTTAGTCGATATTTCCTAGTTGTTGGTCCTATACTCGTAAGAGTTAGGTTCATCAGACATTGTAGCAAAAGCTTTAAGATGTCCAATTGTGTATTGTGTTCTAGGAAGTAAAAACACGTTCAAATGTTTTGTTTATTCAGAACAAGTGCACATTTCATGTTTGTATAATTCATGTGAAAAATTTGAAATAAATCATTAGATTCTACGGTAGTAATCAAAGAATATCATTGCTTAGTTGACCACCCTAGATTCATATAGTTTGACATAACTGGTACATACTGTATATTGGTATTGACCTGGTTGAATATTGCAGGAAAAGTTGTGTCTTCAGTCAGTGTGGAGTGTTACCTTTGGAATTCTGGTTGCGAAATGTTTGCAATACAAACCAGTGAAGAAAGGTGAATCCTTCCTCAGGGATAAATTTGTAGGGTCTTTCTGCATATTGTAGACATGGTCTATTGTTGATTTGCACATTTAGATCGCACCAGCATATGATAACCATTCACAGTCCATACTGAAAAAAGTATCAGCAGTATGTTTCTTATCGGGTTTCCCTGTTTCTTCGTGTGCAGAGTCAGTAGTGATAATGCCATCTTTTGGGGTTCAGCTAGAAATACATTTTTGGAGGTATTATCAGCCTCCCTATGCGAAATCACCAATCAATCTTCAAATTACGCTCTTTACTATTGCCCATTCTTGTCACAATCGTACCGTATATTTCCACTCTGAATTGAAAACTGGATCATTGGTGGGAACTATTAGGTTATCTTACAGGTGGGTGTAGGATGATCAGTTTAGATAGTCAAAATGGATGACTGCTTTTAGCCTTTCTGTTGGATGCATTCGCCACCAATTATTCCAGTGTCAACTGACCCAAATGAATTGGGGAATTATACCTTCTTACTTGGCTGAGTGGATATAGGTAGACTGCTTCTGTTAGATAGCAATTCCTCCCTGAACAAACAATCCTCATGTTGTAGAGGTTATTTGTTTTCGTTTGGTGCAAACTAGATAAATGGCAACAAGTCGATGATTTGTATATTAACTGTTGGTTGCTCCGGATCACATTGATAAATCATATAGGACTAACAATTTGGTGTAGAGCAAAACTCTGTTCCTGGTGGGTAAGACTTTTTTAGATGTCAGATCAATTCGCTGAGCAGTGATGTCTATGGTTTTGTTTGCGCGTCATGAACTCCTTGCTTTGCTTGAAGTACATAATATCTTTACCCTCAGAAAGGTTCAAGATTGACGTGAACTAAATCATTTCACTATTAAATCTGCTTCGGTGGTGTCGCAAAATCATAGACAGCTTCACTCAAGGATTTTGCCTCAGAGAGATATGTTTCCTGCAACTTCTCTTTGCTTAGGAAATAGTATCCAGGCAATTGTATTAGACGATGCTGAAAAAAGTATCAACAGCATGTTTCTTATCGGGTTTCCCTGTTTCATTGTGTGCAGAGTCGGTAGTGATAATGCCATCTTTTGGGGTTCAGCTAGAAATACATTTTTGGAGGTATTACCAGCCTCCTTATGAGAAATCACCAATCATCTTCAAATTATGTTCTTACTATTGCCCATTCTTGTCACCATCTTACTGTATATTTCCACTGTGAAGTGACAACTGGATCGTTGGCGGGAACTATTAGGTTATCTTACAGGTGGGTATAGGATGAACAGTTTAGATGGTCAATATGGATGACTGCTTTAGTCTTTAGCTGTTGGATGCATTTGCCACCAATTATAAGTGTCAACCATCCCAGATGAATTGGGGACTTGTACCTGCTTACTTATCTGAGTGGATATAGGTAGACTGCTGTCGTTAGCTAGCAATTCCTTTCCAAACAAGCAATCCTCATGTTGTAGGAGGTAATCCGTTTTCTTTTGGTGTAAACAAGAGAAATGGCAACATCCCGTGATTTGTTTATTAACTGCTGGTTGCTCTGGATCACGTTGATAAATCATAAATCCTATGAGGGTAGAGTATGCTGTACGCTCAACGGTTTTCTGAAGGAGATTGTTCTAGCAATATCCTTTGCGTCCAAGAAACCAAATGGAGAGGACAGAAGGCGAAGGAGGTGGAGGATACCGGCTTCAAGCTGTGGTACACGGGGACGGCTGCAAACAGAAATGGCTTAGGCATCTTGATTAACAAGAGCCTCAAGTATGGAGTGGTAGACGTCAAGAGACGTGGGGACCGGATTATCCTGGTCAAGCTAGTAGTTGAGGACTTGGTTCTCAATGTTATTAGCCGCGTATGCCCCGCAAGTAGGCCACAATGAGAACACCAAGAGGGAATTCTGGGAAGGCCTGGAAGACATGGTTAGGAGTGTACCGATTGGTGAGAAGCTCTTCATAGGAGGAGACCTCAATGGCCACGTGGGTACATCTAACACAGGTTTTGAAGGGGCGCATGGGGGCTTTGGCTATGGCATCAGGAATCAAGAAGGAGAAGATGTCTTAAGCTTTGCTCTAGCCTACAACATGATTGTAGCTAACACCCTCTTTAAAAAGAGAGAATCACATCTGGTGACTTTTAGTAGTGGCCAACACTCTAGCCAGATTGATTTCATCCTCTCGAGAAGAGAAGATAGGCGTGCGTGCCTAGACTGTAAGGTGATACCTGGAGAGAGTGTTGTACCCCAACATAAGCTGGTGGTTGCTGACTTCCGCTTTCGGATTCGTGTCCAGCGGGATAAGCGTGCCAAAGTCGCTAGAACGAAGTGGTGGAAGCTCAAGGGGGAGGTAGCTTAGGTGTTCAAGGAGAGGGTCATTAAGGAGGGCCCTTGGGAGGAAGGAGGGGATGCAGACAATGTGTGGATGAAGATGGCGACTTGCATTCGTAAGGTGGCCTCTGAGGAGTTTGGAGTGTCCAGGGGAAGGAGAAGCGAAGATAAGGATACTTGGTGGTGGAATGATGATGTCCAGAAGGCGATTAAAGAGAAGAAAGATTGCTTCAGACGCCTATACCTGGATAGGAGTGCAGACAACATAGATAAGTACAAGATGGCGAAGAAGGCCGCAAAGCGAGCTGTTGGTGAAGCAAGGGGTCGGGCATATGAGGACCTCTACCAACGGTTAGGCACGAAGGAAGGTGAAAGGGACATCTATAAGATGGCCAAGATCCGAGAGAGGAAGACGAGGGATATTGGCCAAGTCAAATGCATCAAGGACGGAGCAGGCCAACTCTTGGTGAAGGACGAGGAGATTAAGCATAGATGGCGGGAGTACTTCGACAAGCTGTTCAATGGGGAGAATGAGAGTTCTACCATTGAACTGGACGACTCCTTTGATGAGACCAGCATGCGTTTTGTGCGGCGAATCCAGGAGTCTGAGGTGAAGGAGGCTTTAAAAAGGATGAAAGGAGGCAAGGCGATGGGCCCTGATTGTATCCCCATTGAGGTGTGGAAAGGTCTCGGGGACATAGCGATAGTATGGCTAACCAAGCTTTTCAACCTCATTTTTCGGGCAAACAAGATGCCCGAAGAATGGAGACGGAGTATATTAGTACCAATCTTCAAGAACAAGGGGGATGTTCAGAGTTGTACTAATTACCGTGGAATTAAGCTGATGAGCCATACAATGAAGCTATGGGAGAGAGTCATTGAGCACCGCTTAAGAAGAATGACAAGCGTGACCAAAAATCAGTTTGGTTTCATGCCTGGGAGGTCGACCATGGAAGCCATTTTCTTGGTACGACAACTTATGGAGAGATATAGGGAGCAAAAGAAGGACTTGCATATGGTGTTCATTGACTTGGAGAAGGCCTATGATAAGATACCGCGGAATGTCATGTGGTGGGCCTTGGAGAAACACAAAGTCCCAGCAAAGTACATTACCCTCATCAAGGACATGTACGATAATGTTGTGACAAGTGTTTGAACAAGTGATGTCGACACCGATGACTTCCCGATTAAGATAGGACTGCATCAGGGGTCAGCTTTGAGCCCTTATCTTTTTGCATTGGTGATGGATGAGGTCACAAGGGATATACAAGGAGATATCCCATGGTGTATGCTCTTTGCGGATGATGTGGTGCTAGTTGACGATAGTCGGACGGGGGTAAATAGGAAGTTAGAGTTATGGAGACAAACCTTGGAATCGAAAGGGTTTAGGCTTAGTAGAACTAAAACCGAGTACATGATGTGCGGTTTCAGTACTACTAGGTGTGAGGAGGAGGTTAGCCTTGATGGCCAGGCGGTACCTCGGAAGGACACCTTTCGGTATTTGGGGTCAATGTTGCATGAGGATGGGGGTATTAATGAAGATGTGAACCATCGAATCAAAGCCGGATGGATGAAGTGGCGCCAAGCTTTTGGCATTCTCTGTGACAAGAGAGTGCCACAAAAGCTAAAAGGCAAGTTCTACAGGACGGCGGATCGACCCGCAATGTTGTATGGCGCGGAGTGTTGGCCGACTAAAAGGTGACATGTTCAACAGTTAGGTGTGGCGGAGATGCGTATGTTGAGATTGATGTGTGGCCACACGAGGAAGGATCGAGTCCGGAATGATGATATACGAGATCGAGTTGGGGTAGCACCAATTGAGGAGAAGCTTGTCCAACATCGTCTGAGATGGTTTGGGCATATTCAGCGCAGGCCTCCAGAAGCTCCAGTGCATAGCGGACGGCTAAAGCGTGCGGAGAATGTCAAGAGAGGGCGGGGTAGACCGAATTTGACATGGGAGGAGTCCGTTAAGAGAGACCCGAAGGATTGGAGTATCACCAAAGAGCGAGCTATGGACAGGGGTGCGTGGAAGCTTGCTATCCATGTGCCAGAGCCATGAGTTGGTTGCGAGATCTTATGGGTTTCACCTCTAGCCTACCCCAACTTGTTTGGGACTAAAGGCTTTCTTGTTGTTGTTGTTGATTGTTCTAGCAATATGGTGTAAGACAGTAAGTAAGACTTTGTTCCTGGTGGGTAAGACTCCTAGAGCAAAACTCTGTTCCTGGTGGGTAAGACTTTGTTGATGTTGGTTTCAGATCAAGTCGCCGAGCAATGATGTCTATGTTTTTGTTTTTGTGTTATGAACTCCTTGCTTGGCGTCAAGCACTTCGTATCTTAAGCACTCTGAAAGGCTCAATATTGAAGTGAACTAAATAATTTCATTATTAAATCTGCTTCCGTGGTGTCGCAAAATCATAAACAGCATCACTCAAGGGTTTTGCCTCAGAGGGATATGTTTTCTTTAACTTTTCTTTGCTTAGGAAATAGTATCCATGCTACTGGAAATTTGGTTACAGCTGTTGTTCTCACTTTTTTTTAATTTGTGATTCTTAGCGGAAGAGTTGACCGTCATTTTGTGCCAATTGGCAAGATTCTAAAGCCACTGCTGAACGAGTGTGTGACACCTGTGACCTGTTACTGGAGCTTGGCGTCGCTTCTGCGTGATGAGGAGGAGCTCAAGCTAGTTTTCCAGGTAAAAATTATGTGTTATCATCTATCACTTAATTGTTCCGACAAAATTTCAGCAATCCAATGAAGCTTTATCGCAGAAATTCCGCCCACCTGTCAAAATGTTGGTCCCTATCTGGAGAGCTCTCTGCGCATTCACAGATTCTGAATGCACAAGCCGGCATTCTGCAGTTTCTAAACCGAACCGTTCAGAAGCGTGACTCTGTTGGCGATCTGGTGTGATTGCGACGGTCGGCAAAGGGGATGCAGTTGAGCTTAGATGCCAAACTGAGCTAGAGGTAGGTCTCACTAATGCGAGGGCCGCTAATTATTGGGGTGAACGCCTGCAGATTTTCAGATGTGAATGTACAGTGTACTGCACTTAACAGCTAGTACCGATAGTTCTCAGATGGTACGAACTATCGTCCATGTTCTGAATTGTTCCTTTGGCGACAATGCAGGCCACCATGGGATCTACGCCATCAACCTTTTGGTTTTCAAATCTTGACCAGTGGTATAGTTAGAAGTATTTGGTTGTCTATATGAAAACGATTGCTGGATTCTTTTTTATTATAAGCCATGGTTTTGTTTGCTGAGATTTTTTCGTAATAATATGTTTCTTTTTCTGATTAGTTTTATGGCATTACTAGTCAAAATCTTGCACTGAGGACAACTAGAAGTCAAATCTACAGTTGTGGACAGGGGAGTACAGTAGTACTGCCTTGCCATTTGAATGTGCACGCTGCTGTTGTCAAAGACAAACGGTTCACATGATATTCGCCACTGACGTTGTTCTCATATATCACTAGTATAGATCAAATCGATCGATGTATGGGGAGATGGAAAGGTTTGTTAAAGAATCATCTGTGTCTCCTACGTATGCTACATAAATGAGAAGAGTGGCATGGAAACGAAATGAAATGTGCACAGACAAGCATGTGAGGAGAGGAGTGCCCCATGCATCGCATATGCAAAGATCCCAATGCAGTCAAACAAACACACCTCATATGGAGTAGGGAGTATCACGCGCTAGCTTGTTGGACTCGGCTAGGGCTTGTGTTCCCAAGACTTGGACACCTTAGCAAATTAGAGCAATTTAGAAATCACTACCATGAATTTGGATACTATAAAATTTTGCTTGAATGAGCTCCCCTGAACACAAATTAAAGCAAAATAATTTCTGGAAAAAGCCTGTTATTCCAGTATTTTCACAAGGTCTACTACGTGTAGAGAAAAAGGCAAACAAAAATTAAGTTACATTCAAAGAAGGTCTCAGTCGTTAACGCTAGACTAGTACAACGGCCTCAACCAAAAAACGGAACATTCTCATGCGTGATGGAGCTGTAGTCCGTGGAGCTCGACGCCGCGGCGTACACCGTGGTTGACGACGACGCGGAAGCCACAGGCCCCACCGCCGGCGCTGCCAGCCCCAGCGACCCAGCCGGCCGGTGGCCTCCGGCGGCGAGGAGCTGTGAGGCGTGCGAGGACGGGGGCACGTTGGGCACCGCGGACGCCGCCGCGGCGGCGGCAGGGCGGTACCTGTGCTTGAGGATCTGGGCGCGGACGGCGGCGAGCTCGGCCTCCAGGGCGTGCACCTGCTGCTGCAGGGTGAGGATGGCGCCCATGCAGCCGTAGACGGGATCGCGGAGCCGCAGGTTCGCCTCGTACACCAGGCTGTTGGCCGCGTCGCCGCGCTGGCTCTCGTGCACCTCCTGCATGCATGCGCGTCAAGGTACGCGTTAGCTAATAATATCAGCTGGAGCACTTCGATCGGTTCAACTTGTTGAAGGATTTTGAGCAAAATGATGATGAAGTCACACATCTCTCTCTTAAAAAAAAGTAAAAGAGAAATGCCCTGATGTATACTTGTCTTGAGATGATAATGGGGAAACTTCAATTTGGATTTTGGATTTTGGATTTTGGGAGGCAAACATTTTATACAGTATTTATTGCTGTTTAGAGAGAACTTTTAGCATTTTTACGGAACAAAAGATGCACAAATGCGACTCAAACCATACACAAATCTCTAGTGATTACGCCCGAAACATAATGGAAAAAAGAGAGGAGATCCAGGGGAACTTAGGGTTTTGGATCTGCAAGAACAGCCATTGCTGCCTTGACTTGTGAGTTGTGGCAATACCACAAATGAAATTCTCTTGTTAACAAAGGTTTCCAGAAATACCATGTGAACTAATGAAATACTGCGAGATGTGAGGTATTCACAATAATTATGCTATATCTCATCAAAATCAGTGGCACAAAACCAGTTCATTTCACGAGCTCAGAAGGGATAGAAGTAAGCTATGCTAAAAGTCAAAGAGCAAGCAATGGAAGGAAATTAGACTAAATTAGATTACCAGGAGCATCTTGGAGACGTTGCTCGCGCCGAAGACCTTGTGAACGGAGGCGAACTTGTGCGGCTCTAGCGGCGAGAAGAAAGGCGAGAAGGGGCACTCCTGCGCGCACCGCCGCCGGAGCAGCTTACATGCGGCACATGGGGTCATCGTGTTGAACGACGGTGTCGATCCTGGTCCTGCGCCTGCTGCAGGCAGGCTGCTACTCCTCCGTGCCGCCGCCATCATCCGGTCCGCCTCCGCCGCCGACTCACTCTTGATCTTCTTCCCTACCTCATGGTCTTGCTGCCAGTCACTGAAGAAGAAGATGTATATAGCATGAGATCACCAATTCACCATGGCTATAGCTAGGGTTCCAACTAATTCCATTGCCACACAGCGCCATGCACCATTGACACAACAAAGCTTGAGCAGAGGATTCTAACTAGAGACAGTGCATGAATTTAGCTATTCCTAAATCATTTTTTGTATGATCTAGCTTGGTATTTCGGAAAGTAGTTTTGAGCTTTGAGCATACCTTGCAGTGGACATGAAGGCAAGGGAGAGAGCAGGGGGACAAGGGATGGAAGTGAGGTGCTTTGGAAAAAGT